TGTGTGTGTGTGTGTGTGTGAGAGAGAGAGAGAGAGAGACCTAGACCAGGAAACCAGGGTGGTGAGTAGGGAGGCAACTGGAAAACAATGGTAGTTTGGTAGTTTAGTGGGTTAAGCCCAAGGTGGCAATAAATGTTGGTTGTCAGGGAACCACAAAGGACAGGAACTTAATCATTTTACAGAGAGAGCGTGAAAAGTGGCTTTTTGGACAAAGTGAAGACCAGGCAGAGATTTTTTTTAAATCTCTATCATTAGTTATCAAGGAAGTAGAAATTAAAACCACAGCACGATACTACACACTTAGTAGAATGTCAAAAAGTTAACTAAATATATAAATGTACCAAATGAGTGCTGGTGATGATGTGGAGAAACTCCAATTGTCATGTTGCCATGGGAATACAAACTGGTATCGCAGCTCTGGAAAATGGTTTGGCAGTTTCTTAGAATGTTACACATACAGCAGACCTGCTTCTAGATATTTTCCCAAGGGAAATGAAAACTTATGTGCACACAAAACCCTGTACCCAAATGTTTATGATGGCTTTATTCATCATCACCAAAACTTGGAAAAAACCGAAATGTCCTATGCCCTGCCTAAAGGTTAAATTGTGGTACATCTATACCACAAATGCTCTCAGCAATAAAGAGGAAACAGGAATGTTGATACAACAGCAGAGGTGAATATCAAATGCATTATGCTAGTAGAAGAAACCATTCTCAAAAGGCTATATACATAATGATTCCATTTTGGAGACATTCTGGAAAATGCAAGACAGTAAACAGACTGGGGGGGCCTGGGCGGCTCAGTCCATTAAGCATCGGACTCTTGGTCTCAGCTCAGGTCTTGATCTCAGGATCATGAGTTCAAGCCCCATGTTGGGCTCCATGCTGGGCGTGGAGCCAACTTAAACAAAAACAAAACAGAAAACAGATCAGTGGTTGCCAAGAGCTGGTCATGGAAGCTTGTGTTGGCTCCAAAGGAGCCTGAGGAGATTTCTGGGGGTAAGGGAACTGTTCTTTATTGTGTTGATTACATAACTGTATGAATTTGTCAAATCTCACAGTACCATAAAGGATGAGTTTTGCTGCATACAAATTTCACTCCAGTTTTTTAAACAGTGAAGGAAAAAAAAAAGAATGAGTAGGAATAAGGCAGGAGAGGAGGAAAAAGGGCATTCTGGGCAGAGGCAACCCATTGAATAAAAGCGGGACGAGAGAGTGCATATAGGAAGAAATGAAGGAAGTTCAGGAGTGGAACTTAAGAGTTTGAGCAGGAGGAATGAAGCTGGGAGGTGAGGGCCAGATCATAAGCCGGTTTGTAGGCAACATTAGGGAATTTAAACTCTTCTGAGTGCAGTTGGAAGGGCCATCAAGGGTCTTCAGCTGAACATGTCATGGTCAGCTCTCTGTTTTACTAAGATCACTTTGGTTGCCATGAAAGAACAAACCGGAGGGAGGCAAGAGGTATCAGGGTGACAGATGAGAAAACTATGGATGGATTAGGAAACTGCATCCATGCAGAGGCTAGGGAAGAGATGGATTAGGAGCTTGGGTTAGGGGGTAGGAACTGATTGGAGACCTGTAAAAGGGAGAAGTCACAAGACCTACTGATGGATAATGGAAGTGAGACAGAAGAGGAGCTCAGAATGACTCCCAGATATCCTGTGTAGGCAACCAGGGCAGGGATTATCTCCACTGAAATGGGAGAAAGGACCGGGCTTGTCCAGGCCAGCTGCTTGACATCACGTGGACTGGCATCATCGGCATACTATGGCTTCTGCTCACCGCTGATACAACTAGCTGCTTTTTCCTCCTGGGGTGCGTCTGCTTGCCTTACAGCTGAAACCCACTTCCTGAGATGAGCACCAGGAGGTTTGCCCACTGACCTGGGCCACTTCCGCCTCTCTTGGATAGGCCTGGCTCCCTCTTCTGTCCTTTCCAGTCCTCAGAGCAGACCCTGCTCTGGCTCTCCCCCAGCTGCACCCTCTCCACAGAATGAGAAGACCAAAGCGACCTGCCCCGTGCCCACCCTTCAGGTACCTGGGACCCCAGAAATATTTGCCCAAACATCCTAAGCCCATTAACAGGTGCTGTGTAGTCCTCTGTTTTTAAAGCCTTCCCCCCGTCGCTGACTGGTGTGTGCACTAGGGGACAGCTGTGGTGGGAGGTGGAGGTGGGCAGAACTCGGAAAAGTGGGCTGGTCTGTCCTGTTATCCACACACATGCAAGACCCCCGGTGGCGCAGGAAGGAGCTGTGGGTGGAAAGAGAAGCGAACAGTCTGGGGTCCTCCACTGCTCTAGTATTAGGGGTGGGCCAGCCCAAACTGGGTGGTCTTGTTGGTTAGGAGCAGCTCTTGTGGAGGCTTCCCTGTCTCAGGAAGGACAGGACAGTGGATTCTTGCCGTCACTTTTGGCCTCTCCGAGCTGCCTCCAGACAGCCTTGAGAAGGTCACAGGGAGTCCGCCCAGCCCCGGAGACGGTTCCCCTTTTTCTGTGACCCCTCCCACCCTCTGGCTTCAGCCCCTCTGCTCTGTCCAGGCTGAGGTCTCCAGCAGCCGTCCAGTGCCTCCAGTGGCAGTGGCCACTCCTCTGTCCTGGTCATCCTGGGCTTTTCAGTAGTACCTGCTGCTGCCTCTTCCTCTCTTGCCTTGCTTCTCCCTCTCCTCTCTGCTCCCCCCATCTCCCTCTGCCACCAGTCCCTCTCTGCCTGATCAGCTGGATCCATCCCTGATTCTGCCTCCAGCAATTGATTTCTATTTGCCTGCTGACTAACTGACCAAAGGCGTGGTTCAAACCCTGCACCAGAAACAAAGGGCTTGAGCCACCTTTGGAACCACTCTCCAGCTTCCTCCTCCAGGCAAACCTCTTAGGACCTTCCTCGTTTTATGACCTATTCTGCTGACCAGAACTTTTGTTTGTGTGTTTGTTTTTAAAACAGATGCAAGACAATCCACTGTATGGAAATGAAATTATTTAACTGGGTGCCCACTAATGAACTTTACCTTGTACAATGTTTTTGCATGTAACATACGGATAATAAGATAATATCGTGGAATTAGAATTGCTTAGCCAAAGGGTATGTACTTAGTAATATTGAGATATTGCCAAGTTGCCCTCCAGAAAGATTATCCCAGAGTAGACTCCCACCCACATTCTGTGAGCATGATGGACATATTTTGTTTTGTTTTGTTTTTAAGATTTTTATTTGAGAGAGAGAGCAAATGAGAGTGAGAGCACGAGCAAGAGCCGGGGCTGGGGGGGGGGGCGTGGAGCAGAGGAAGAGGGAGAAGCAGACTCCCCACTGAGCAGGGAGCCTGACGTGGGACTCGATCCCAGGGCTCCAGGATCATGACCTAAGCCAAAGGCAGCTGCTTAACCGACTGAGCCACCCAGGCACCCCATGATGGACGTTTTTAATGTATTTTCAACCGTATCCCAAATTTTATTCCCAGCTCTCATCTCCCTCCAAAACTCCAGATTTGTACATCCATCATATACTTGACATCTCACCTCAGCTATCTGACGGCATCTCAAACTTCTATGTCCAGAATAGAGAAGCTGCTCCTCCTCGGCCTTCCTCTATTTCAGTTACTGGTAACTCATTAGCCCAGCCAAAAACTTGGAGCCTCAACTCCTGTTTCTCTCATGGCCCCTACCAGTAACTCCTGCTGGCTCTCCCATCAGAATATATCCAGAATCCTACCACTTCTCATCACCTCCACTCCTACCCCCAAGGTCTGAGCCACCATCTGCCTCACCTGAATTACTACTGCAAGAGCCTCACCGAGCTCCCTGCTTCAGCCCTTGCCCCTCCATGATACTCCTTCTTCCTGCAGCCAGAGTGGTTCTTTTGGTGGGGGGGGGGGGGGGTAGGGAGAGGGAGAGAGAGGGGAGGGGAGGGGCAGAGGGAGGGAGAGAATCTTAAGCAGACTCCGCGTCCAGTGCAGAACCTGATGCAGGGCTCAATCTCACGACCCTGAGATCATGACCTGAGCTGAAATTGAAAGTCAGACCCTTAACCGACTGTGCCACCCAGGCACCCCAGAGTGATGCTTTTAAAATATGAGTTAGATCATGTCCCTCTTTGGCTTGAAACCTTCCAAGGGCTCCCAGTGTGTAAGCGGAGGCCCTTAGAAGGCCCAGCAGAATGTAGTCCCCATTACCCTTGTCGCCTCTCATTATCCCTCTCCCTCTGCTCCAGCCACACTGGATTCCTTGCCAGTCCTCCAACACACCAGCCAGATTCCTGCCACAGGGCCTTGGCACTGCCTGTCCCCTCTGCCTGGAATCTTCTTCACCGGATATCTCTGAATGGCCCACTCTCTCGCCTCCTACAAGTCTTTGCTCAAATGTCACTTTCCCTGTAAGATCCAACCTATTTAAAATTTAACCCTCTCCCATTCCTGAATTCCCTTACCCTACACACCTTCTAATATACTATACAATTCACTTCTTATGTTTATTTTGGATTTTGGTATCTCTTTTCTTTCCGTTAGAGGTTAAGCTCCACAAGGGCAGGGGTTGGGGGTATATTTTGTTCACTGGTGATTCCCAAGCCTCTAGAACAGTGCCTAGCACATAGTAGGTGTCCAATAAATATTTGTTGAACAAATGAAATAGCAGAGCAGCGTCTTCTTCGCTTCACAGACTTAAGTGTGCCTCCTCCCTCAGAGGAGGGTCTGAGGACCAGTCTCCTGACTCTTCCCCACACCAAGCACTAGACTCTGCCTGTGGCGGAATAGGGTGGAGGTGAGCACTGGGACTTAGTCCACGTTCAAATAAACATCACAGTTACATAAACAAATACACAATAAAATCCCACAAATGTAATTATGTAAAAGTAATCCCAAATCATCCCATATCATCCTGGGATAACCCGCGGGCCCAGACACCCTGTGGTCCATCACAGCATCCTGGATCCCTGCCCGGTTAGTAGTCATCCTGGCATGATCTGAGCATGCACACTTGCCACAGCTGCTTCCTTGGGAGAGGCTGCCTTCACTTTTCCTCCTCATGCGTCTGGATTTGGGTCCAGGACCCTCTGGAGAGGATTCAGATGGGGTTTTCCAGCCCTGGCAGGCATCAGGAGCATGACCTTAGATCAAGAGCCTAAGGTTGGGCTCTGTGACCACCAAGCTCAGTAAAGGAGGCCAGGGAGGGGACAGCTGTGGGGACATGGGATGTCAGCGTATGTCCATCCAGCAGGCGCTGATTTGTACCAGGTAGCCAACATCTGGTATTTTGGTGGATTCTGAAGGGCACCGCAGCTCCTAACTGCGGAGATCACAGAAATGAAGGGATTTGCTCAAAGTCTCACAGCAGGAAAGGGCACGGTAGATTTAAACAGCCCCTCGCCCCTGTGCCCTGGGACAGGGGCTCCAAAGACCAGGAGGGACAGAATAAACCTCCTCCACCTCACCTACTCAAGCTTGCCCGGGTTTGCATTTCTAGGGGAAGGGTTGGGCAGGGCCAGCCCGGAAGCATGCCCCTGGAAGCCTGACCGTCCTGAAAGTTGACATTCATGGCTTTGATCCTCCCCCTCCCCTGGCCTCTGGAGGGGGTGGTGCTGGAGGGGCCAAGGGAAGTGCCTGGAGGTAGGTATGACCCTAACACTAGGTCTCACTAGGTCTTACCTGTCCCCAGTCATCCCAGAAGTCCCCTTCGCCTGCACCCCGCCTCACACACACATTGAAGACAGGAGGGTCAGCTGCAGTGGCAAGATGCCCGAGACTCCACCATAGGACAGCACGGCTTTGGGCACGCGTGGCCCCTCTCTGCGCACTAACTGAGCCTGCCAAAAATCCTGTGAGTCACCAGGATCTCAGGGCATCTTGCAGAGGTAACTGAGAGCTGGGTTTTGGGGAGGGTAATTAAGGCGCCGAGCCAGGGCTGGGCCCACAGAGGGCCCTGCTTGTTTAGGGCAGAGGGAGCAGAAGCCAGCAACTCTGTGGTTGGGTACAAAGCCTCTTGCTGGGCCCTCCAGCCCCTCCACCCAAAGACGCATAGTCACGCACTCCCCGCAGAGGTTGGCACCCAGCAGACTTGGCACCCAGCAGACGCAGGCAGAGTGCCTCGCAGGCAGCCTGTGAAAGAGGGCGGGGCAGACAGAGGAGGTGAGGACGGTCGGAGTGCTGGAGTGCAGACTGAGCCTCAGGGCAGGGCAGCAGCCTGGCTTCTCTGAGCAGGGCGCTGCCCAGTCCTCTTTTCCGGCAGAACCTGGTTGTATGTGCCAACTCTGAGTCAGCCGCACCTAACCATCTCAGGCCAGGGAGGAGGCTTCAGCTCGGGCCCCATGCCAGAAGAGGACCTGTGTGGGGAGGGCTGGGGGTATGTAAAGGAAGAGCCCGGCTGCAGCCCCCACCCCAGAGGCATCTGGGGTAGAGGGAGAGGCCACGGTCCCAAATAATGCCCTAGTTTGGAGCATGGGGCTCGGAGCTGGGAGGTGACGTGGATCAACAGGAACGATGCTTGAGATGAAGCCAAGACAACTGTTGAAGTCAGAATTTCATCGCATCTCTGCCTCGGAAGAGGAACAGGGCTTGAGGAGGCCTGACATGCTGAGTAGAGGGGTCTGGAGGCCCCCAGGAAGGTCAGAGGCCCCCAAAGGGCAGGCCTTTTGGCATATGTCCTAGCCTAGGATGGAGGGGGGGATACAGTCCCCCTCATCCACCCCCCACCCCAGGACTCCAAAGTCAGGCCTGCCAGTGTGGACATGCTCTTCCCTGACTGGAAGGGAAACCAAGGAGGGCTCTGACAGGCCTGCCAGGACCAGGGGGCACTCTTACTGAAGGACAGGCCCACCAGAATGAGTGCCAGATAAAGGGCTAAACCCTCTATGTGGAGGGGAGGCATAAAGGAGGGAGGGGCCTCTCCGAAGTCCCTAAGTCCTGACCCACTCTCCACCCTCAGGGCAGGAAGACCTGCCCTGTGGCTTATATCCCTACCTGAGGTATTCAAGGCCACCTAGGCCTGGTTGTACTGGAAAGAGGGTTAAGGTGAGCTAGGCCTTCTCCTCCAAGAGGGGTCCAGCTGACTTCTGCCAGACGCTCACAATGGCTTTATCAGTGCTCAGGAAGCCTGGGTGATTCACTGGTGGGCCCAGCACCCTTCATCCTGGGAGGCCTTCTGGGGGCTCTCCCAAGGGACTCTCCCAAAGGGTGGTGGGCAGCAGGATTCCTGGACTTTCCCTGGGGGTATATAGGCACCCTATAAAGAGGGTATCTGGGTGGCAAGAATTGAGGGGAGCAGGGGGGTTCCCTGTAGGGGCCCCTTGTTCAGACAGCCCCTTGGGAGGCCACCCAAAGAAGGGACCCTGAAGATGTAACCCACCCCACCACTCTGCCATACAGATCACCAGGGGTTTGGGGTGCTAGAGGCTCAAAGGTGAGTTCCCTGCACCCAATTGCTGTAAGCTTTCCCTGCTTGCGCCCCAACCCTCACCAAAGGCGCTCCTGGGGTTAGAAACTTCCCATCGAGAGAGGAGAGGACCCTCCTCCGGACAAGATTTAGGCATACCTCTCCGAGGACCTCCTAACCCATGCCCGTGCACCCATTTTGCAGAAGGGAAAGCAGAGATCCGGGGAGCCGTGGCTGGACCCCCGGACGCCCAGGCCCCCTTCCGCAGCAGCCCGGCTGGGCGTCGGAAGTTGCACGGTCCCTTTCCCAGAATGACGCCAAATTCTTTCGAGAGGCACCCCAAACCCGGAGAAGCGCCCACAGGTAGGGCGTGGGGCCGGGCCGCCCGCTGTAATGACAGGGCCCACGGCCTGTGGGTGGCGGCGGCGGAGGAAGCGGGAGGAATCCAGCTATTTCTGGCCGGGGCGCGCCCACTAGCCCCGGCCAGGGTTGGCCCGGCTGCGGGCTCCCCCCCTCCGCCCTCCTCCATCCCCAAGAGGGGGCGGGGAGAGGCGCGGGTTGGCGGGGGCGGGGGGCGGGGGGCGGGGCGATGTCCCGGGCCCACCTCCGGTCTCCGCCCACCGGAGTCCTTTCGGGTCCCTCCACCGCACTCGGCTCGCACCCGAGGCCGCCGGCGCAGTGGCCGCGCACGTGTGTCCAGCGGCGCCCCCTCCCGCTGCGCCGCCCGTCGGGCATGGACTCGGGCCGGGACTTCCTGACCCTGCATGGTGAGTTCCTGGCTGGCGTGTGGGCAGACCCTGCACGGGCCGACGCCGCGCGAAGCCGTTCCCGGGCCCTGGGCCGGGGACCCCCAGATTCCTTCTGCCGCCCTCCACCCCGCCCCAGGCCCGCCTCTCCGTTCTTTTGTTGCATTGGGGAAATCTCGGCGCAGGACTCTCGGGGTGGGACTGCCAGGCAAGACCTTGGGCTTGTCCCCCAGATCTGGCCGGAGGTGGGGGGAGGGTGCGGGTCTGAAGACTTCCCTGAAGGCGAACCCCGACCCCAGACCCCGCCTCAAGGATTCTGCCTTTTTCTGGTCTCAGAAGGCTGGGCTCCGTGGTCCAGCGCGCACGGAAGGGCCGAGGAGGGACGGAATCAGCATCCACGAATAACCAGGTTCTCCCCACACTGTCCGGGCCCCGCTGGAGAGGCTCCCCAAAGCCCAGGCTGCCTGGACCGCGTCAGGCCGCGTGGGTGTGGCGGGGGGGGGTGCGCGGGGCGGAGGAGATGAAGAGGTGTGCAAGATTGGCCGAGGTCGGGCTGGGCGTTGGTAACTGCTCAGCGCAGAAATCCCTGTCAGCGATGCCCACGCTGGAAGGAGCAGCCAGATCCTCCCATCCGCGCACCCTCCTGGACGGGACCGGGCCGAGTCTCACCTCGAACTGCCTGCAGCTCCACCCTTTGTCCAGCTAGTTCTGTCCCTCTGACCCACCGGGGAACAGTCCTTGCCGTATTGCTGTCCCTCCAGGACAAAGAGCAGCAGTGGCTTCTGGCAGGTCGGGCCCCCCAGCCTGGTCTGGCATCTCTCCGCTCCAGCCTGGGGACTCACTCACTCTTAAGGGCGTCTTGCCCTCCTGGTTCCTAAGATCATCTGCCAGTTCAGCAAAACCTGCCCCTTACGCCAATCACTGCTTAACCATATCTCCCTGTTTTCTAGTATCCCTGGGGTGGGAGACTTCAGTGCCCACCACCTGCCCATCTAAACCATACATGAAGATGATAGATGGGAAAGAGAAAGGCAGAGCCCTCCAGCTGCCCACTAGAGACCCTCTGGAATTCAGGGGCATAGGAGATGTTCCTTTCAGCCAGCCACTAGTCTGTCTTGTGTTTCCCGGTTGGCCTAGACCTGGTCTCCATGGCCTGAAGAGACCTTGCCCAGGGCCCAGAGCTGTGACCCTCCCATCACTGGCCTGGGCTCCTCAAGGCAACTTCATCCAGCTGGGTCATGGGACCCCTGCCCCTTCCAGTGCTTCATCTTCTCAGACCAGAGGTGTCCTTAGTGCTCCTGCCAGACTGGCAAGAAGGGAGTCTGGATGGCTCAGAGGACCACAGTGGAGACTTCTGCTTTCTCATTATCCCTTAATGCTGTCTACCCTGCAGAGTGATACCTCTTCCAGGCCTGTCTCACTCTCAGATCTCCTAAAAGCCCTCCGGTCGTCTCTGGCACAGCTCATGTTGGAATGGGCTCCATCCTCAGGCATCTGTGCCTTCGTCCAGTCTTTCTCCCCCGGTGTCTTCCCTGGAGAGGAAGCTACGGGGAGGCACTGTGGCATGGGTTTGGCCCATTCTGTTTGAGACCTGCCTCCCAAATGCCTCACTGTATCCAGCCCTTCCTGCGGGACCAGCGGGAACACTGCAACCCCAAGCTCTTTTCCTGAAGGCCCTGCCATTTCAAGCTCATCACCCAGAATTACCCTCCCTTAATTGCCTTGGTCCCTCCTGCAAACCAGATCAGGAAGCAGGAACCTGGCAAGGGGAGTTGATGGCAGGAAGGGGTGGTCACTGTGCCCTGTGCTTCCATTGGAGAGTTCGTACCCCTTTCAGATTTGGGGCCCCACAGCACCGAACATGTGGCTTGGGCAGTTGGCAGTCAGCTGCAGAAAGCCGCCCCCTCCCCTCGGCCTGGGGGGCCACAGAGCCTCCCTAGATATGAGATGTCCCCTATGTCCTCACCCCAGATGTGTGCAGAGGCAGTGTAGGCTACAGGCATGGGTTCTGGAGGCAGACTGTCTGAGTTCAGGCCTTGACTTTTTCATCTCAAACAAATCCCTTGATTTCTTGGTGCCTCCGTTTCCTCAGTGAAATAGGGGACAAGAACACTACCGACTTCATAGGCTTGCTGTGAGGACTGAATGAGGTCATACACAGAAGGCAATGGGAACAGTGTCTGGCACTCGGTAGGGGCTGTGTTCCTGCAGGAGGCCCACCCCCAAGTGATCATGCCCTGTGCATTCTTGGGAGATGAGGGGAGCACCATAAGGGAGTCTGTTGCTAGGAAAAATGTGCCCAGAACAGGGCTCAAGAACCAAGGGCCTCCTTCTGGTGTCTCTGGAGCCCTCAGACTGATGTTCCAGTCCCCTGGCCTCCTCGCCCTACTCCATTGCCTCTGCTGTCTCCATTCTAGCCAGGCCTGCACTGGCCTCGCCAGCAAGTCTCCAGATGTACCCAGAAGGACACTACTTCCCAGGCCCTCCCCTCGCCGAACACGTCCACCTTCACTAACTTTGCCTACCTCAAATCCACCCTGCCCCACTGTCAAAACTGGCATTTGTAAAAGTGGAAGGCAGGCCATAGGAGGGGCCTCATCTTTGCCCCAGGAGACCTCGACTGCAGTCCTCATTTTGCCTCTATTTATAAATGTTGTGACCTTGAGCACGTCCCTTTGCCTCTCTGGGCCCTTTTTTTTTTTCCACCCATGGCATAGTAACACCCTATTTACAGGGGACATCATGAAGAGAAAGCATGGATGGGCATAGGAGCTCAAGGTTGGCAAGAGAGCCAGTACCCCCAAACGATAATGGTTCCAGAGCCATCATAGCAAGTTGGGGTGGCCAGCCCCCTACTCACCTCAGTTATGTTTCAAAACTGTCCCCGGGGTTCCAGACCCGTACCCCACAGACACACACTGATCTTAACATTTCGTGCCATAGGCCACTTTGGCAGTCAGATGAAGCCTGTGGGCCTCTCCTCAGGGTCATGTTTTTATTTTTATTTTTTTTAGATTTTATTTATTTTTATTTTGAGAGAGAGAGAGAGCACACCCACACAAGCAGGGGGAGGGGCTGAGGGAGCGGGAGAAACAGGCTTCCTGCTGAGAAGGGAGCCAGATGATGCAGGCAGGGCTCCATCCCAGGACCCTGAGATCAAGACCTGAGCCGAAGGCAGACACTTAACTGACTGAGCCACCCAGGCGTCCCAGGGTCATGTTTTTAAATGCATAAAGTAAAATACGTCAGAATTCAAAGGAAGCAAATTATATTGAGATGTGATTCTATCCGTAGGTCCTTGGCGTGAGGGGGGCTGGGGGGGGGTTCTTGGTCCTCTGGATGAGAACCTTTGTGTGGTGTCTCTAAAACAGGTTCACCTTACCCTCTGCCTCCTCCCTCTCCAAATGAAGAACAACCTGTTTGGGCCCCTATTTCAGCTCATCTACACTAACACACGTTCTTTTGATGTATTCTCTGTGGTGTAACCTTAGGCAAGTCACTCTGTGCTTCAGTTTATTGTTAGTGTTCCTTTGCTTGGCCGTGCTGATGGTTGGCTTTGGCGGTGACTCACTGCCAGTGCTGGTGACTGGAGCGGCAGTGAAGCTAATGGAGGAACTAGTCAGAGGCAGAGAGTAAAAGAGAGGAGTGAGTCAGGCCTCTGGGTGGTGTCCTGACCTTGGCACACAGTAGGGGCTGGGGGCATGAAAGAGAAGTTGTAACTTAACATGAAAGGTCCCACTGTTCCCCAGCACACTGGCAGCACAGTTTTGTATAAAGTTGCAGTAGTTCTCATCTATTCATCAAAGCAAGCCTGCGTTAATGGACTCATTTTTAAAGATCAGCCTTTTTTTTTTTTTTCAAGAATTCCATTCGCATTTGGAACCTTGGAGATTACCCTACTCGGGTGGAGAAACTGTGAGAAGGAAACAGGTCGGCCTGTGAGGCAACAGCCAGCTGAATTACAATGACTTCGTTTAGTAATTGAAGTAAAATATTTGGCGGGCTTGGTGGTCTGCCCCAGGCTCCATTCCCGGCTCCGTCTGGCCCCGCCCCATCCCGTCCTCTCAGACTTGGCCACCCAGGCCGCCGCTACCCGATCTCCCCTGTTCTCAATCTTGCTCAAACTTCGTCCTCCGCCCGGCCCCCAGCAGGTGTTTTGAATTCGTGACTCGGGCTCCGCCCCCGGTGGACCCCGCCCCCTGGTGAGACACCGCCTCCAAAGCCGAGGTTCCGCCCCTCCCTGCCCGAACCCCGCGTTTTCAGGGCGGGGGCCTCCCTCGGGTCGCTCTCTGGGCCCTAGCTCCGCCCCCGGTCGGCTTCCTAAGTGACGCTCTGCCTCCCCGTCGCCTCCCAGACCCTTCTCCTTTCCCCCGCCTCCTACCCCAACCTCTGGGGCTGTGGCTCCGCCCCCTACCCGCTTTCTCGGCTTTGGCTTTCGCCACTGATTTGCTTCCTGGGTTATAGATTTGTCCCACTCCGCCTCTTGGGTTCTGGCTCCTCCTCTCCCCGCCTGGAGTCCGGCCTTGCCGCACCCCGCAAGGGCAAAGGTCCTGCCCCTCCGGGACTGGCCACGTCTCCTAGGGTCTGTCTCCGCCCCTTTCAGCCC